TCTATCTATCTATCTATCTATCTATCTATCTATCTATCTATCTATCTCCTGTCTGTACATTTTAGTTGGGACTACAATGAAGCCAGGAAAGCTAGAAAGCGGAGATAAGGAGGGATAGAAATCCAGGCATGAGGGACAACTAGTGAAAATGCCCACAGACTGAAGGTAGAATGTCTTGTATGAGGAATAGCAAGGAGGCTAGTGTCACTGGTCCACAGAGTATTTAAGGGCTGAGGTGTAAATGTAAGAAGACTGAAAAAATAGAGGAGGGCCAGGTTATATGAAGGGCTTTGAATGCCTAATAGAGGATTTTATATTTGATCCTGGAGGTGATAGTTAACCATTGGAGTTTATTGAGTAAAGAGGTCTATTGAATAAACATGGTCACAATTTCACTTTAGGAAGATCACTTTGGCAGCAGAATAGAGGCTGGACTAGAGTGGGAAGAGATTTGGGGCAGGAAGACCAACCCATAGGCTATTGTAATAGTCCAGGTATGAGGTGATTAGGGTTTCACCAGTGTGGTGGCAGTGGCAGAGGAGAGAAGGGGCATATGCAAGAGATGTTACAAAGGTAAAATCAACAGATTGGATATGAGAGTTAAGAGAAAGTAAGGAGCAGAAGATGATGTCTAGGTTTCTAGCCTGGGTGACTGAGAGGATAGTGATAACCTTGAGAGTAAGAGGGAAGAGGAGGGGAGGGTTTTGGGGAAAAGATGGAGTTCAGGTTTGGACATGCTGAGTTTAAGATATTAATGGGACATCCAGGTTGAAATGTCTGATATGTCTTGGAGATGTGAGCCTAGAGGTCAGTCAGAGATTAGAGCTAGATAAATAGATTTGAGAATCATTAGTATCAGGATAACTGAATCTATGGGAGTTAAGTTCACCAAGTGAAATAATATAGAGAGAGAAGATAAGAGGGCCCAGATCCCTATGTTAGTGAGATCTGGTCAAAGATCCAGCAAAGAAGACTGAGAAGGAACAGTCAGATAGGTAGAAGGATATACAGAAGAGTATCAAGGAAAAAAGAGTGACCGACAAGTGTCATAGGCTAGAAACAGCTTTAAGAAGCTTTAAGATTGAGAAAAGGCCATTGGATTTGGCAATTAAGAGATATTAGTAATTTTGAAGAGAACAATTTTGGTTGAATGATGAGATCGGAAACTGGATTGTAGAAAGTTAACAAGAGATTGAGAGGAAAGGAGGTGAAGGCATCTATTGTAGACATGCAGCTATACAGAGTAAACACCGAATGAATATAAAGTAGTTAAGGGAGGGGAGAGCTCTAGCAATTGGGAGAGGGGATCAAAAAAGAATTCATGTTGAAGGTGGAGCTTGAGCTGAGTATTGAAGAAAAGCTTGAAACTTGGGACAGTGCCCCCTCCACCCCAGGAGCAGAGCTTCACTTTAACATGGAGTTAAAAGTCAAGAAATAGACTGGGAAAATGAGCAAATGTTTAAACCCTCCTCCCCGCAAAAAAAAAAAAAAGGAATCTGACCACAGAAAGTTACTATGATGACAGGGAAGAGCAAAACACAAACTCAGAAGAAGACAACAAAGTCAAAACTGCTACATGCAAAGCCTCAAAGAAAAATGTGAATTGGTCTCGGATCCCAAAAAGAATTCCTGGAAGATATCAAAAAAGATTTTAAAATCAAATAAGAGAGGCAAAGGAAAAAATGGGAAAAGAAATGAGTGATGCAAGAACATAATGAAAAAAGAGTCAACAGTTTGGTAAAGGAGGCACAAAAAAAATACCGAAGAAAATAAAACCTTAAAAACCAGAATAGGTCAAATAGTAAAAGAGGTACAAAAATCCACTGAAGAGAAGAACTCTTTAAAAAGTAGAATTGGCCAAATAGAAAAGGAGGTACAAAAGGTCACTGAGGAAAATAATTGCACAAAAATTAGAATTGGGCAAGTGGAAGCTAATAGTTACATGAAACATCAAGAAACAATCAAGCTAAATCAAAAGAATGAAAAAATAGATGAAAATGTGAAATATCTCATTGGAAAAACAACTGACCTGGAAGGAAAAGAGATCGAGGGGAGAATTTCAGAATTATTGGACTACCTGAAAGTCATAATCAAAAAAAAAAAAGCAGGAAAACTGCCCTGATATTCTAGAATCAGGGGTAAATTAGAAATTAAAGAATCTGCCAGTCACCTCTTGAAAGAAAGCCCAAAATGAAAACTCCCAGGAATATTATGGCCAAATCCCAGAGCTCCTAAGTCAAGGAGAAAATATTGCAAGCAGTCAGAAAGAAACAATTCAAATATCACAGAGCCACAGTCAGGATAATGCCTTTAGAGAACGAACTGATAAAAGTCTGAATGCAGATCAAAGCATATTTTTTTTAACTTTCTTTTTCTTTTTGTCTGTTTTCTTTACAGCATGACTAATATGGAAATATGTTTTACATGACTGCACATTTATAACCTATATCAGATTGCTTGCTTTTCTCAAAGAGGGGGGAAGGAGAGGAAGGGAGAGAATTTGGAACTAAAAATTTTTAAAAACAAATGTTAAAAATTGTTTTTACTTGTAATTGGGGGGAAAATAAAATATTAAATAAAATATTTTTGAGATGAAACAGATTTAAAAAGGTAAAATAGACAAAATAGATAATTACATAAAATGAAAGGTATTTGCATAAACAAAATCATTACAGCTAGGATAAGAAAAGAAACAGTTGGCAAAAAAGATCCATGCATCGAATATTTATGATAACCATTTGACATCCAAAATGAATAAGGGATTAAAATAAATATATAACATCTTGAGCCATCTCCCAATAAATATAGTCAAAGAATTTGAATAATTTAAAAAAAATGCAAATATTCATCAACCACTTGAGAAAAGTCTCCAAATTATCAAGAGTAAGAGAAATTAAATAATTCCAAAATTGCACCTCATACCCATCAAATTGGCAAAAATGATGAAAGATAGAAAAAGATCAGTGGTGAGGGGATTATAGAAAGACAGGCACACTAGTTCACCACTCATCACTGCAGAAGAACTGTGAATTGGTTTAAATGTTTCAGAAAACAATTTGGAGTTAAATGGGAAAAACCACATCAAATTGTGTTTACTCTTCAACCCAGTGATCCTACTACTATATATACTCCAAAGAGGTCAGTGAGGGAAAGATGTGAAACTATGTAACACAAATACTATGTAACACAAAAAATATTCACAGTAGAACTCTTTGTGGGAACAACTTGAAACAAAATGAGTTCCCACTTATTGGGAATAATTTGTGATAGGTGAATGTAATGGAGTATTACTGCATTGTCGTAAGTGAAGAATTCAGAAAAAAAATGGGAAGATATATAAAATGGTTCAGAATGAAGAAAGCAGAGCCAATAGAACATTTTTCTCAATGACTCTAGCAGTATAAATCGTACCACCGAAAAGATAGTCAAATTCTGCCAAACTCTAATGAACAATTACAGTGATAATAAAATTACCTCCCTTCTCTCCATAGAGGGAAGGGGAAGGACCACAAAGGTGGGATGCAGCAAATACTTTGAGAAGAGATCACTCTTAGTTGTCTTTGCTTATGTATTTTTCTTTATTACAAGAAAAGGTCTAAAGGTTAAGTGGAGAAAAGTTTAAGGCGAGCAACTATGGGGTGAAAACAAAAGGCAAAATAAAAGATTTAGTTTTTTTAAAGGTACGAACTACTGAAATATAGCTGAATTTCCTTTAAATGAAACAGTTTTAATATCTGCAGATTGAGAGGTCTGTGTAGGGAAGTGGAAAAGGTTTTAGATTTGGAGGACCCGAGTTCGAATCCCATTTCATTCACTTGCTAATGTGAATCACTTAACTTCCCCAGGCCTGAGCTTCCTCATTTAACAATGAGGGGACTGGATCAGATAGCCTTCAAGATTGTCTAGCTCTGTGGTCCTGTGATATAATGTTTAAAAGGATGTGAGCTAACGTTGAATGGTAAGATTGTTAACATCTCCTATTCTTTTTCAGCTATTTATGCATAATGACATCAGGGGGTGATTTGGGAAAAGAGAATTAGCACTTGGAGTTAGCGTTTCTCAGTCCCCAGTACTCCCTAGGGATGAAGGCTATTTTTGACAGACTCCTTTTTCATTCATTTCATTTCATCCACACAGATTTTTCCTGAGGAAAGGCGAGGAGCTGAGCTTGATTACCGTAAGACATTTGGAAATGAATGGAAAAAAGCTGGTGGACATCAGGATCCAGATAAAAACAAACCAAATAATGAGTTTATTATAGCCCATCCCAGATACCAGTTACTCTGTCTTAGTAAGTACAGCATAAGCATTAATTAACAAGCATTTAAATACCTACTATGTACCAGGAGCTGTGGCACTGGAGCCATAAAAACAGCAATGAAACAGATCCTGCCCTCAAAGAGCTTACATTCTATGCAGGGAAACACATGTATAGTATATATACAAATAAATACAAAGTCATTTTGGGAGGGGGGTGGTGGAGAGGCACTAGTCACTGGGGAGATGAAGAAAGGTTTCATGTAGAAGATGGAGCTTAAACAGAGTTTTACAACAAACTAGAGAATCTAAGAAATGGAGGTCAAAAAGGAGTATATTTCAGCACTGGGGACAGACTGTGCAAAGGTTCAGAGAAAGAAGAAAGACTGTCGTGTGTAATGAACAGCAAGAAGATGATTTTAGCTAGCCTGTCAAGTGCAGGAAGGTGAGTAGTGCATAATAAGGCCAGGAGGGTAGATGAGGTCTAGAACCTGCTGGGTGATTGGTTCCCCAGCTACAGCAGTGGAGCTGGAGGCAGGAAGACCTAAGTTCAAATCCAGTCTCAGACATTTAATAGCTGTATGATCCTGCGCAAGTCCCTTAACTTTTGTCATATTTTCTTTAACTGTAAAAATGGAGAAGAGAATAGCACTTGTCTTCCTGGTTTGTTGTGAGGATAAAAAGAGATATTTGTAAGGAAC